TATGCAAGGAAGTTGCTGCAGTTCTTAATATTAGGAAGGCTACAGTTACACAAAAAATTGCTAAACAAAATAAAAAAATAATGAAGAATTTCAAACACAAAAATCCTAGATCAGCTAAAAAATACTTTTAACCATAATATTCCTAAAATTTTACAAAGTATTATTATGTTCAATATATCTCTAGTATTCCACTTTCAATACAAATATTATAACAAAAGCTTGAAGAAAGTGTTTATAAATTATCAAAATTGCAGTTATTTTATTTACTTTATACATTAGGATATTATTATAGCCGTAATGAGTGTTATAATATATTATATAAATCACTAGCAAATATTACTTTTTGTAATTATTATTTATGATATCATTTTGAAAACTTACAAGAAAATAACAAAATTCTAACTAGGCCAGAATTTTTTTGGATGAATCATATTATCATTTGTATTATACTACAAATTTTACTTGGGTGCAAAGTTATGGGGTAGTATATTTACCAAGACGTGATCTCTTAATTATTATTTTTGAAGTAATAATTGTAATGTATAATGATAATACTAAGCTTTTGAAAAAATTATTCCTAATTTACTTCTTATATAGAACCCATCAATAAAACCACTTTCATCAAAAGAAAGAAAATGAGTAAATACTGATGCCTATGATAATTTTCCTGAAGTTATTTAAAATTCCAATATTACAGCAGACTATATTAACTATCATAGGAATTTTATAGCTGAAATATTCAAAGATCTTTTTGATAAACTCTGTGCTAATATTAAGGAATGCTATAGGTTAGTAAATATTCATATAGATAGTGCTCAGTATTACAAACATTAAGTTAAATAAGTGCCAACATCAAACTCAAAAAAGGATGCATTAATTACTTGATTAATTTTAGCTGGTATTGATATTCCAGAAAATTCTACCAAAGCAGAATTATATGAATTAATAAAACAAAATAAAGCAAATATACCTTTTGTGTGTTAAAATAGCTAGAAAATATGGTTACATTTGTTTTACATTCCACCTTATTATTGTGAATTCTAACTAATTGAAGGAGTTTGATTAACTATTAAAGGTGAGGTTGCCAGATCCAGTTCTTATCCAAATCATTTAGCTATTAGAAACAAATTGATGCATATCTTTAATGAAAAGATTATCACTAAAGTTATTGTTAAATTTTGGAAAAGAATACTTGATAAAACCATAGAATATAAAGAATTAAATAATAATATGTTATTAGCTGAAAGTGATTATGAAGATTCTGAAATTGAAGAAATTGATGATTAATAAAATTTTTTATAGAAATTTATATTTAATAAAACTTATATTAAAAATATTTCTCAAAACCTATATAATAAATAATAATGTTTAAATGTTTATATTAAATTTAAAAATTTATTTTTTACTATAAATAAATTGGTGTATCTATATTTTGTATTAGGCTATATTATCTAATCAAAGAATAAAAATAGAACATATCTTTCGTATTATATTTCAAACTGTTTGTGCATTTTATTAGTCATATTCTCTCTAATAATCTGATACAATACATGCTATATTTTAACACCTTTAATAAAATAGTAAAGAGAAAAATTAGACTTTTAATGAAAGAAAAATAAATCAAATGTCTTAGACATAAAAACCTAGAAAATAAAAAGTAATATCTAATTAATTATTTTTGGGAAAAGGAAATGGTGAAAGAGCAAAGAAAAAAAAAGAAAAAGAAGCTATAAAATAGAAGACTAACTAAATACTATTTATAAATAAATGATAACTATTTAAATTTCTACCAATTTCTAGTATCCTTAATTGTAATATCAGAGATAAGGTTATCAAATCCTATAAGGTAAAACACCTTCCTACACAAGGTTAGTACAGGTTATATGCAATTTATACTAATAGATTGATTAGTAGAAGTCTTCAAAAAGAAAATTTATAGAATATCACTTGATTTGATAAGAAATAATTAGTAAGAAAATATTAAAGTAACTGTATATAAGAAAAAGGTAAGGTTTGAAATAAAAATTCAATCTTTTTTTTTTAATTATTAGCCTAATTTGCAAGAAGCACAACTCTTCATTTACTTGATATTCCTAGAACTATTATAGTGAAAGCACTACTTTTACACAATTCTAATGTGATCTGCAAAATTTTAAAAATCACATGTAAATACATAAAAGTGAAAAGCCATAAAAAATTATATAATTGTTATTTAGAATGAAATTATTATTGAATAAAATGATTAATGTTATTTATTTATATAATATTTCTAATTAAATGATTATTAAAAAAGGTTTTACAGAAGAAATATGAGAAAAAGAATACAAAAATACTGGAAGAGATCACTCTTTATCGACTTCTAACTTTAAGAAAGGTAAGGTATATATTATTATTACATATTTTTAGCCTCAAAGAGAAAGAAGATTCTAACAAAACTGAGTAATGATAATATTTAAGTAGCTTATGCTCTGGTTAGCTTTTAGGACTGGGTATTTTTCAAAGTGTATTCTGTTAAAAAGTATTTATTTCAGGCTTCTATACTAGAAATTATTGAATATAGTTTAGATATACAGAGGGTGATCAAAAGTTTCTGAACACTTTTTCACCAAATATAAAACTTATAATTCTTTAGCATTAATAGTAAAAGTTCTAATATTATTTTATTTAGAGCTGGTTAAGGCATACAATTCATATTAAACTTTTAATATTTAGTTTAGACTCCCTTTACCATTATTATTGATGACCCGTTTGCATTACTAAATGACTGCATCAATTAATGTTACAAATAATTACTAAAAAAATCGTGATCATCATTTTCACCAATTTCACTGCTATCACGGTTATCGTTGTGATATTTATTTTTATTATTATTATGTTTATCATTATTTTATTTACTATCTTTATTATCATAGTTACAGTATATTTACTTTCACTATTATATTTATTATCTCTTATTATAATAGTATTTTATAGTAATATTCTGTATTGTTGTCTTGACAAAATAACAAGTTTCAATCATACAATTAATAAAATATAATCTTGACAACATAAAAACTATATTTTTGATAATATCTATTTCCTTAAAATATAAATTATCAATAAAGATAACCTGACCCTTTAACTTAAATAAATTTATGTTTATTTCTTTCATAGTTTATAACTTAAACTCCCTGTTAGCAAATAAGCTTTATTAACTTAACGACGTAATGTTTAGGCTTAATACTGCAATCACAGCCTGAATTCGCTGTGGTATGTTATCAACTAAATTTTCAATAGTATGCATCAGAATTTCTCGCTATGCCTTTTTAACATATCGGTCAAAGTCAGTAAGATTTAATGGTAATTTTTTATATGCACGAATGTTTTTTTAATTTCAGTCCATAAATTTTCAATTGGGTTGAGGTCAGGACTTTGGGCTGGCCAAGTTAATGTAAGAAAACTATTTTCTACCTGAAAATTTATTGCAACTTTCAATTTGTGTAGATGGGCATTATCTTTTTGAAACCAGCCATCATTATTGGGAAATATTCGTCTCATAGCTGGTATTACATATTTATGAAGAATGGTGATATATAATTCACCATTTGCTATTTTAGATAATGTAACAATTGGTTCTTTCCCTTTCAAAAAAAATAGCCCAATACATATGGCTTGGGCTATACTTTACTGTAGCTGATATACAGGATAAATCCCACTCATCTGCTGATTCTTACCACATCCTGCTATTGTAACTTTGTTGGAATTGAGAGAAGGTCAATTCATCACTCCACATGACCTTTGACCAATCCTCTTTTGTCCAACTTTGGTGCTCTAAACACTATGTGAGATGTGCCTCTATGTTCGCTAGTGAAATTAAAGGTTTTCTTCATGCAATACAGTTTCTTAATCCAGTTGAATGGAGAACTCATCTAATAGTCTGGGTTAAAATATTTTGTTCAGACTTTTTTTTCCAAAGTTGCCGCACTTCAGCAGTATAAAGACAATGATTTTTAGTTTTATCATTTGTAATGATTCATTTGAGGCGATTACATTGATAAATTCTTCTTATGTTAGAGCTTCTAAAGCTTTATACAAGTCTTACAATCAGTTGTTAACATTCAAGGTAAAGCTGAAAAGTGCAGACAGATATATACCCTTACATCTCCTAAAGCAGTAACTGGTATTACTTGCTATGATTATCTAACTTTCTAAAGTCTTTATATATAAAAACAAAAAAAATAACAAAAATAACTTTTTCATTTTTAAAAAATATGGTTGGGTAAGAAAGAAGATCCCTTTAACTATTGTTAATAAACTTATTGTATAATATTATATTGATTTGCTGTATTAACTGGAAGTCTCTAAAAAGTAATTTCTGAAATATACAAGTGTTATCTTTGTGTTTATTGTGTTTATATTAAGTATTTTTATATTGAAATAATCTTTGACATTCTTCCATATAAGAAAGCATTGCCAAAAGAATTATATGTAGATTTAATTAAAAGTTTCTTGGAGAATGACTATAGTCCAAGTGACAAATCATTTAACTAAGGAAATTAAAATTGATTCAATAATTATCACAGAAAAACATGCTGAATTAATCTCAAAATGGATTGATAGAATATATATTAAGGACGAATTAAAACTTCAATATGAATTTAAATTATTACTTTGTGGATCTCGGGATGGATTTACATCTACGTAATACATAGATTTTTTATAGCAGCTGATCTATCATTCCAATTATATTATATACTTTCGCAGATGAGCCTTCTCCTAGAACTCCTACAGCTTATTTTGATAGTTTTGTGCGACTTGAAGATACTGGATTAACAAAGTCGACGCTTGTAGGTCCACATATTTACGACTGAATTTCGATAAATCGATGTACTAAATAGACGTAATCCTGTCTTGAAATCTGTTTGGTATTCTTGATACTGACTAGTGTTCCTATCAAAGGCCGTAACATAAAAGTACGTCACATCTGATAAAAATACAACGAATAATCTGCGTGATGGTTATTATTCCATAAAGATATGAAGATAGTCCACCAGTTGTCCTTTTACTTCATCGGAAAATCCAATGGTTCTCTTGTGCTTCTTCAAATCCAGGATCGTTTGGACAGCTATGGTATTAAATGTATCATTTGATATGTCATCAATATCAAAAATACTGAGATCCGGCTTGTATCCATTGAGATATGGTGTATATTTTGTTTCCCTAAAAAACCATATATTCTGCCAATTTGAGTTCAAGCGAGCCATCACATCTTTGAATCATTTTTGAACTTGTTTCTCTGTCATCGCTTGAATCATTGGGTCATTTGTATATAGTCTCAGCGAGGAAATAATCAAATTGAACCTTATTAAAAACAATGCTCTGTAATTTTAGCGCGCGTCATAGAGTCTAAAGTGTACAGAATATAGGATTAGTGATAGAAGATAGGAGGTGGGAGGCTTTGCATCTCGACAGCCTTACTTGGCAACTTCAAATCAGTATATCCAAGCTTCTTTTCATAATTTCCGAGTTTTCTTTCATAACTTGCACTATCTCTGAAAGGATTGATGTATTCGCACTGACAGATCCACTTGACAAGCTCTAAAGCAATTCCCGTGAATATGCGTTTAGAAATCATAATACTTTTGCAATAATATACGTACCATTTACCCATTACCATATGCGAGATTCCCACGGAAGTTGATTGATAAGTGGCTATCAGAAGAATGAAAAGAGTAATGTCATTGCTTCATTAAATTATGTTGACTAATTTACCGATGGAAATGGGTTGCCCTACGATAACGTAATGTGTAATTTTGGGCGAGTTTGACGTTAACGTTAAGAAAAGCAGGAAAGAAACGCACAAGAATAAGTAAGTATTCGGTATCATGATAGCGCGCGAAATGATGAAACATACCAGGCGTGGATATTAGAGACTTCAAGTAACCCCGTATCTCATATGAACAAATTTCTGATTAAAGACATTCAGAATAGTTTTGTCGAAGTTGTCGGTAAACGTGGAAATGATATTTTAAATCAAAAATGCGTGTTTCATTTTACTAATAAAAAGTTGTATTAAATCCTTTGCTTTTCTCTGTCCCAACACAAGTTATGAGAATTACACGAGAAAAAGAATTAATCTTAACTTGGGAAGCCTGAGGTATATCCACTACCCAACACCTCGCTGTCCAAAACTTTTGGAAGCGAAAGAAAGAAAAAATTTGAAAAAAAAAAGAAATCATCAGTCACCGTGCCCCAATAATAATAATGATAATTTAATAAAAATACTTTGCGATCCAACCCGAAAGAAATTACCAAACAAAAAAAAAAATTACAAACCATTGAAAGCATTTACTAAAGTTATAAAACGAGAAATTCTTGTACCTTGAAATTAATTAATTTTACATAGGTGAATCATAAGATCCAAACGTGATTATATAAATAAATAATGTTTAGCTTAAGTAGAAATAAGAAATTTTTTATTGTTTTTACCTAGCTTCTTAATTAAAGTATCCATAAAGAACTCAGAAACGGAAATTCGTCGAACGAGAGCTAATTTAAAAGGTTAAAGTAAATTAGAAAAATTTTTAAAATCATGAATAATTTATTCATTATTTTACATATTTCACATAAACCAAAATATAATCATAACTTTCTATTCGAATAATACAAATTATTTTAATAAATATTCTTATAATATATGCCAATTACTATATATAAAATAAATAAATATCAATAATATATATATATATATATAAAATTTAATATAACTTTATCTCCATAAATTCTAAGAATTTCCTATTTCAACAACTTTGTGTTCTATTGCTATCTTACCTCTTAAAATTTCTACGATAATTATAATCAGATAATTATTGTAAGTTACATTTCGGAAACTTCATTTACAATAAAAAGCTACGGAGTTGAAGTCTTATCTAATGCGTTACATATTTAGTTTTTATTATCAATGAAAAATCATTCTGGATGCTTGAGGCGTAGAATATATAAACTTTCTCAATCATTTGTTTTATTTTTTTTAAAAAATAAAAGATAGTAAAAGAAATAATGTTTGTTATTTTTAATTGCAGGAGCATAATTTTTTCGGGAAACCGTATTTGTTTGTCATTCAAGAGTGTCATTTAAGAGTACATCCAAACTTTCGAGATAATTTATTGAATCTTTAAATATTCGGAAATTTATCAAAACTCGATATAACGATACGCGATAAATCGATTTGGCGATATTGCATATTCCGAATCCTGGTTATAAACCAGTTATGATTTTTTTTATATTTTAAAGTTAATTATTGCTATATATTACGACTTGTAGAACTAAAATTATTCTTAAACACGTAAAAATTATTTCAAAATCAATTACAAAAGAGTTACAAATTATGTTATTATTAAGCTTTTAATTCCTCAGAAATTATAGAAAGTACATCATGCTCGTCAAATTGCTTGAATAGTGATAAGTTAAATGAATAATAATTGATAGAATAAATTTTTTTTAGTTAATCACAAAAAAAAAATTCAACAAATTTGTTTTTAAACCTCAATGTAACAAGTCCTACAAATCTTTATTACCAAATTTTTTGTATAGTTAAGAAAAATTTCAAATCATGGTGCATATAAATGCTGCTAAATACAATTTACAAGACAAAAAGAAAAGATTTAAATAAGCAAAATTTTGAATAGGACCATGAAAAGGTTATTAATAGAATTTTTTACGTAGTAAATGTTGGATAAACGCATTTTAAGGAATCGGAAAAATTTGGTAATTTAGTTATCCGAGTATTTT